CATTTCCGACCATTTGGGCATGAAGAACTAGGTGATCAGTAAATGGGGGCAGAGTAATGGTTTTGGGAGATGACTCTGTGGACCAAGGATTAAACACTTGGGTGAGATGTATGGTGGAATCAGGGATGCTCATGAAAACTGCCCAGCCACGTGAGGTTCCCAGCAGTTTGCATCCGTCCGAAAACACTTTTGGAAATTTCTTACCTGTAATATTGATGATTTGTTCACTCCTCGAAAAGCCGTTTTATAAAACTCGAGTAGCCGTTTTATAAAACTCGAAGATCGTTTTATAAAACTCGAAAAGTCGTTTTATAAAACTTGAGAAATCGTTTTACAAAACCGCGAAAGACTGAAACAGCCACGAAGCGTGAACTAGTCGCAACTAGTTCGCCTGCTGGCGAACTAGGCACTCCATGGCTAGTTCGCCTGCTGGCGAACTAAGCCAGCCCGGATTAGTTCGCCAGCAGGCGAACTAGGACCTCCTCAGCTAAATTGCCTGCAGGCGAACTAGCGATCTCTTGGATCTCCCACGGCCCTGATTCGAACCTTACGTCCTTCGACACGGTCAAATTCTGAACCACGGCCAAAATGTCTCTCGTTTCGTCTCGATCCAACTTATCATTTGAATTCTATGATAAAAACCGTAAAATTCCGCTTTCCCGAAAAGAACTCGAAGAAATCGTATAAAACGGTAACGGTTAAGCAAAACACCGAACATCACCTAAACTATACGATTTATCCGAGATTCTTCGTTAAGATTATAAAAACGTTTTTTTAATAAAAAAAACGTCGAGAAAATCATAAAAAACGGCATCAGATCAGGAAACGGTCTAAAGTCGTAAAACGGTTTTTTATCGTCAAACGGCCTGAAAGATCCTAAAACACAATAAAAACCCATCTCGCGACATTAACGAAATCAAACCCAAAGATACGGTAACGTTTTGACGGTTTACTCGCAGATAGAAGACAAAAGGCAAGTTTGAAGATAAATAGAAGATTTCCGCGGAAGAAAAGGAAGGATCGACAGATATGGAAAGTTCCCGAAATATTCGGTTTCGAACGAAATGGAAAGATCAAAACCGCCTAAAGAGGAGTATATAAGGGGGAGGTATAGGGCAGAAGCTGAGAGACGATTTTTAGAGCTCTCACCACCCAAAATTAGCATTTAGGAATATTTTTGTTTCATGTTAGCAAGCTGCGTCTCAACTAGGGTTTTTGGTTCTTAAGATTTTCGGCTACTCTTTTGTACCAGTTCTACGCAGATTCGGAATAAGAACCTCTTTGCTCTCAATTTCGTTTATTCTTTTAAAAATTCTAAGTTTATCGTTTTCTTAATCTTCGTTGTGCGGTTCTGCAGATAGCCGGTTCCTCTGGAAACTTAGGGTTTTCTCGAAGTTTCCTTTTTTACGATTTATTGACAGTAGGTGAATTTCGGTTCCCACAGGTGACTTCTGCCTGTGTGTAGAGCTTGCCATTTGGAACTCCTTTAGCATATTGATCAGCATACTCTGGTAGACAGAAACAAGAGCGTCCAAATAATGAGGCTCTTGTCAGCAATTGTCCCATGTCTTCTTTGGAAACATGGATGATGTCTCCATTTACTGCTCTTGCATAGCCAGATTCATCTCTGTAGACTCCATATTCATATTTCTTTTCCCAAAAGAAACGACAAACTCCGTTGTTGAAGGCTCTCTTTCCATATTCTCGGTGCATATCGATCGATGCGAGTCTCCATGCATCGGTCGATGGCCGTTTTCTTTGGTGCGAATCGTTCTCGATGATAGGTCCATTGGCCATCTGAAGGATGTCTGCAACATCTTCTGTGGAGATTGGAATGATTCTCCCATCTATTACTCATCCGGAATTAGTGAATTTAAATCAAAATGAGATGTTTGTACCTCGGATGGTGTTGTGGCAGGATCGGTTGGTGGTTGGAGATTGATATCGATCGATGGAGAGTGCTCCATATCGGTCGATAGGATTGCATCGGGTTGGATCGCGGGTTGTAGTGGTGCTGTATCCACTGCAAAACTTTCGTGATAGCTGCTGGCCCAACTTCCAATCGAGTAATCTCCGTCGTGTGGCTCATGTGGGGCATGGACTGGTGCATAGTAGGTGTCGCTCGTGAGTTCGAAACGTCGTTTGAGCGATCTGGGATAGGGCATATCGATCGATGGACTAGAGGTCATATCGGCCGATGCTTGTCGGAGGAAGGTCGGGAAAGGAGGGTGTTCTGCATCTTCTCGAAGAAATCGGTACTCTATGGCTCGTTCCTCCTCATAATCTTCATCATACTCTTCCTGAGTAGTGATACTAGCTAGCTCGGGCATGTAATGGTCGTTTTCCCACTCATCTATGCTGAGATCGGCTTCCGGAAACTCGTCTTCGTAGTTCTGGAATTCCTTATCGATCGATGACCATGTGGTTCTGTCGGTCGATTGGTCTGCACTGGTATCGGTCGATGGTGAAGGGTTGTTATCGGTCGATACTGCTTCTTCGGTTTCATACTCTCCCATAGAATCATACTCGTGGGCACAAAAACAAGTGGCTAGGAGTGTTGAGCTTGCTGACCTTGGAAACTTTATGACTGGAACAGGGTTGTAGTGGATGGAAGGGTTGATGAGGGTGAGGCAGAGCTTGTTGGTTTGTAGGTTACAAACGGCTCCAACTGTGGCTAAGAAGGCTCATCCAAGTAGTAGAGAAGAATTTGAACTTGTTGGAGAGGACATGGAAGTCTGTAGGAATTAGGGTTTCTCCAATATGCACTACAAGAAATATTGGTATTGATAGCACTTCGCGGTAGCACGAATTTACCAACTGCTACCAAAAGTGTCAAAATCGGATCACAACTTTATCATGGCACTAATTTCGCGATAGGAAAGAATTTCATTAGCGGGAACGCAAAAAAATCACTAATATAACTGAAAAACGAATTTACAGCCAACACTAAGCCAATTTTTGGGTTTCCGCCATAACATCTCTATGTTTTTTTTAATGAACCACAACTCTTTTATTCCTGACACAATCACACAATAAATAAAACCCTAATCGATCCCAGCTCCTGGGTCAAACGCCAACTCCACACACAGAAATTCATCAGAATCAAAATTATCTTCTTCTTCTGAATTTCAAGGAGATTTAAGGGTTTCCAAGACCATTTCTGGGTTTGTCTTACCTTTCCCCTGTTTTGGTTGCAAAATCAAATGGAATGGGACAGTGGAGATGAGGTGGCTGATGAGGGATGGTACGGCGGACACAGTGGACCGATTCAGTTTCCGGCGAGTAGTATTCATGAACGACGTCATTTAGGTTTGGGGTTTGGTAGCTCTGTGCGCTCTCTTTTCTAGAGTTTCTATGAAATCGCATGTTTTCAGTGGCTTAAATGGTCGTTCTATGCTTGTAAGCCATTGAATTGAACCAATTCTATCTTTTTTTGGTCTCGTGATTTGTTTGTGGAGTTAGGTTTTGAGTTTGCTAGCTCTTTGTTTTCGCTCTTCTTCTGATTATAGGATACTGAATGTTTTCAGTGGCTTTGTTTGTTCATTGAGTTCTAAAGGTTGTAGCTTTAATTGTGTTTGTTGTGTAGAAGAATGATTTTACTCCTTGTAGCTTCTTGTACTAGTTTTCTCTGCTCTAATAATCTTTAAGACTTAAATTCATTGTTGATAATCACTTATCTACAAGGATGTAGCAGTAGTTGTCATGTCCTTATGAGAATCTGTAGTTAAGAGCCGGATCTTGCTGTTTGTTCATGGGTTTGATATAAAGATCTGATCTTTGTTATCTTTTGTCGGTTTCCTAGTACAGGACCAGATGGTTTCTCCGGTTTCACTGTGCAATGGCTTGTATGTGCGATTACTTCTTATGGGGAAGTCAAATGGAGATCCATTGAGAGATTCCACCAAGGAAGAAGAATACGGTGAGTTTCCGGTGATGGAGAGGAGGAGGAAAAGGAGTGGTGTGGAGAGAATCGATGAAGCTGATGATGAGATTTATAAATGTAACAGTGAGAAGATTCACATTGCTAACAGACTGAAAGCTTAAAGGGTAAAGCTTCCTCCTTTGAGACTTTTTGGTTGATTTATACATTTTTATCACAAGTGTGTTGAATGGTTTGTTTGATGTAGGCTGAGACATTGTATCTGCCTGCTTCACTTGAGAATTTGGTGTCATCACTTGATGTGTGCTTCATCAAAGGGTGCGTTTTTTACGTCAAGTCTTGTTCTTTCTTTATTGACTGGTGCCCTCAAGATCTTGTTTTCTTTAATATGTTATGTTATATGTTGTCATGAAGAATGCCATATAGTTAGCTACTTCTGGAAGCGTTATAGATCCCGGAGAACTTGCGGATTCAAAGGTTTGTTTTGTCAATCTATTAGGTGTATATGTTTATCTCGGAGATTTGAGCTTGTGTTCGTACTTTGTCTTCGTGTCTTGTATTTCTATAGGTTAAATTTATGTCTTGTTGGAACAATGACAAAGCTGATAGAATATTCTTATTTGGATGTCTTGCTGTACTTTTTGGATAACAGTCTGAAAAATTCTGGTTTTCGATTTGTGTTTCAGGACACTGAGAAAGAGAAGCAGAGGAGCGAGAAGCTTTTTTACTAGTATTTAGTTAGTTTAACTTGTTCTTTGACTCTGTTTATGACTAGATATAATGGTTACATGTTCTCTTATGGAGTTCATGTGTTTCATGTATTGTTTTTATGTCTTTAATGGAAAAGCATATGGTATTTTTTTATTTACTTGTGTTTTAATAGGGTATATTATATTATTAGTCTTATTGCAATATATACTATAAAGATTATGTTTAAAATTAAGTTATAATTTCTGCTTATAAATTTAGGGATATATAATTTTAACAAAGTGACTAGCTACATTTTTTTTAACAAAGTGATTAGCTACATATATATTATAAAGATTATTTATATATAATCTTTTCAGATTTTAAATCTAAATTTTAAAATTAAAACTAAACTCAAAATTTGATCTTATTTATTTTAATTTATACATTCTAAACCTTAAATCTTAACTTTTCAATACCTTAAACCCTAACTTCAAACATAAACCATACATCAATTCGAAACTCTAAATTCAAAATCTTTTTCAATTGTATTTTTACCTTGGAATTTTATTTTATTTAATAATACTATGTGTTGTATTTTATAAACTCCAAACCCTATTCCATAAACTCTAAATACTCTATTTCAAACCCTAAGTACTAAACCACAATTATAACACTAAATTTCAATTAATTATAAATTCCATAGCATAAATTTTATATCCAAAACTCTAAATCTTTAACTAAATTATAAATAACAAACCATCATTTTTAAAAAAAAATTAGAAACTTTAGGTCTTAAATGATAAAACCTAAAACAATATACTCCAAACCTTCAATAAAACCCTAAACCCTATATACATCATACCCCAAATTAATCATTTACCCTACTCTCTAACTAAAAATCTTAAACTTAATCAAGGTTGCGAACGATGCCTCCAGAGCTTTGCTGAGAAAAATCCACAAAGATGAAAGTTTCTTCAGAAGGCTCTATCTTCAGACCTAGATGGTCTGCCATAAGCTTGGGTAAGATGCTAACTCCAGATCCTATGTCACATAGGGCACGAGGGAACTCAACACCTCTGATGGAACATGGTATTGTGAACTTCCCTGGATCACTCTTCTTCTCCAGTGTCATCTCCTGCTTTAGACTGTCTCTGACTTGGTGAAACATTCTCTTGATGTCTTCTTCTGTCTCCTTGGTTTCTCTGAAGAACATCCACAATCTGTGTGAAAAATAGGCTTCTTCAAAAGGTTTCTCTTTAGGTATTCTGAGGACTCTTTTTATGAAGCTTGATAACTCCTTCTCATTAGCTTTTCTTTTATAAGGCTTAGGTATCTTCTCTTTCCTTTTTCTGAGAACTCTTCTCTGAGTTTCCTTTTCTATCTCCATGGACTCAAAGATATCCGTGGGTCTCTCTTTTAGGGCTGTTGTAGGGCTTCTGGTGGTGTAATACTGCTCACGGAAAGCGTCAAGATGTGCACTATCAATCTTAGAAAGCTGCACTTGGCGTTGGGGTACTGTGTATCGATCGACACTGGCTGGAGTGTGTCGGTCGATACAAGGGTCTTGGTGTCTATCGATGACAGGGTCATCATGTCGATCGATGACAGGGATGGGCGGATGTGGGTGACGTGTTGCGAAGGCGGCGTGAGACATAATCTTGACGGAATTGCACTCGCGAGGGTTTCCGTCTAAGTCTATCGATCAACACTCGTCAAAGTCAATCGATCGACGCTTTAAGGGTGATATCGATCGATGTTGAGCAGGTGATATCGATCGATAGTAGTCGTAGGCGAAATCTCTTTCACTCTCATCATTAGATCTCTGAATTTCTTCTACTACCTCTTGCCAAAATTCATCATCCAGGATGGCATTGATGTTCTGGTTGTGGGCAAACTCCTGCTTCTTAAGTGCTTCTCTTGTCTGAAACACTTAGGTCTCTTGCTTCTTCACATGGGTGCTGAGGGCATCTATCTTCGTGGTGAAGGTGTTGTAGACAGAATCGATCTTTCCATTGAAGTTTACCTCGAGCTTCTGCTGACTCTCAAGTATCTTGTCTATCAACTCCTCCAATTTAGTATCTTGGGTGGGTGGGTGTGGATTTTAGTAGAAGACACTTCCATAGCTTCTGTTGTTGTTAGGGTTGCTGCTGCTGAAGTTGTTGGGCTTCTGGGAACTCTGGTTGAAGTTGCTTCTCTGGCCTGTGAAGTTTTTGTATCCTCCTTGGTTACCAGATCTCCGAAAACCGGCTCCACTAATCCAGTTGACATCTTCTTCAACAATGTCTGCATCTTCCACTGAACAGATCTGCTTGTTTAGGAGCTTCTGAATGTTTTCTAGATGTGCTTGAACTTCATTGATGTACTCCTTCCCAATGGATGATGTAGTCTGCGTCACAGAGTTCTTTTTGCTGTTGCTGGAAGCCAAGTTGTCAATTAGCTTGATAGCATTCGGCGGATTCCTGGTGGTGAAGTTGCCATCACTATATGTATCAAGGGCTCTCTTCAAATCTGGGCTGATGCCTCTGTAGAAAGTGTAGAGCAGTTGCACTTCGTTGAATATGTGGTGTGGGCAGTCTCGCTGGTAGGATTTGAATCTGTTCCAAGTATCCTTGAATGATTCTTCAGGGTCTTGGGTGAATGTAGCAACTTTCTTCCTCCAGTCTTCAGCGCGTGAATCATCAAAAAAATTACGCATGAAAGCGTGCTTGATGTCACTCCAGGTGGTAAGGGAACCTGGTGGTAGTTGTCCCAGCCACTGCAAAGCTTCTCCAGATAGAGAGTACTTGAAAAGCTTGCAGAAAAGATAGTCTTGAGGGACTCCTTTTGCTTTGACTAGAGTTACAAGATCCTCGAACCTCTCCAGATGGTCCATAGGATGCTCATGGAGCAAACCACAGAAAGGGATTTGTCCTACAAGTGTGTAGTACTGCGGCTTGAGCTCAAAATCTCCTCTCTGAATAGCAGGAGGGAAGATGGCTAATCGGTTTGAATAAAACTGATCTGGACTGTTGAAGTCAGCCAAAGTTCTGGTCTCTTCTACAGATTGAATGATGCCTGCAGTTTCTTGTTCATGAATGACCTCCTTCTGATCATTCAGCTTCTGACCTGCTGCATTCCGCAGGTGACCATCTTGATCACGCATGTCTCCATTCTCATCGGGTATGAGAATCATAGGCGCTACCATGTCTCCCCGGTTAGTATCGATCGATGTAGGGTGAGGTGTATAGATCGATGTCAAGTGAAGGGTATCGGTCAACAAACAGTTGTTGATGTCGATCGATGAGGTGGTGAGAGTATCAGTCAACGAACGGTAGTTGATCAACGGTGGAAAGCGGATATCGGTCGATAGAGAGATGTTGGTATCGATCGATGTGGAGCGTAGGTCTTTGCGGATGCTACATTCCTAACCTTTGGGAGCACAAAAGTTGCTTGTCCTTGTTGCTTCTAGTACTGCTGGACATGTACCTGAAAAAGACAAAAAAGAAAAAGAAAAAATTTTGTGTCAAAAGGTTGAAAAATAAAAAGTAACAAATAACCTAGACTGAATCAGATTAAATCTAATAGTAATCTTAGTTCCCCGGCAACGGCACCTAATTTGATATCACTCAAATGTTTAACCCAAAGGAGTGAATTACTCTCTCAAATAAGAGGTTCAATCGTAGTACTTAGGGATCGAATCCACAAGGAACTAGAGTCACAAAAGATATAATCCTAAGTGATTAAGCTAGGTTGATTAGGTTTAAAACAATAAATAAAAGTTGTGAGCAATGGTAAGTTGCTAAGGAGAATGAGTTTTGGGTTTTAAAACAATAAAAGAAAGTAACTAGATTCAAGGTTACTATTCAGAAAATCAGGATTATAAATCTATGGATGTCTTAACGAATTGCTTGCAAATATATGAGAACTTCAATCCTTAGACAAATCTATAACTGTCGCTAATTAGACTCGTCCATTGATCTGATTGCCGACAGTATCGATCGATGTTGCTATTGCAGTGTTGATCGATATATGTTGCCGTCGAGCGATTACTCTATAGGAGTATCGATCAATATAGCATCGGATCGAATTGAAACTGTGTTCACCCGAAAATTTCTATTAGACCACCTATCGCACGTGCCTAATAGAGTCTGAGCTTAGCCAAATGATTTCAGGACAATGACTATTAGATTAGTCACTCCATAATTATACTTTTAGGTAGCTAATCTAGAGTAAGCATTAGGGTTCATTTGGATAATGAATATAAAAACTCAACACTCCATAGTTGGGGCTAATCCCTCATAACTATTTGAACCCTAAATCTAACAAATGAATCTACTCAGACATAGCCAAGTAATTCATAGCAAAAGAATAAAATGAAAAGAAAATACTTTATTGCTAAGTATAGAATAGTAAAAGAATACAAAAACTTAGATGTCTTGCTAAAGCACTTAGGCATAACTATAAATATGAGTACAATTAGGTTAAAAACTCGTCAGGGTCAATCTTGTAATTTGGGGAGAACTTGGGCTTCAAGTCGGCCAAGTAAATTTTGCTCATCGCGCTCTGTATCGATCGATGGTACATGGTGTACATCGATCGATAGAGTATCTCGACTTCAACTTCTACGGAAGCGTCATCGATCGATTACACAAGGTGTATCGATCGATATGTGTCTCTCATTGTCGGATCTTCATAGTCATCTTGGAAAACTCTCCTTTAGGATCCATAAGGCACCTAAATCATCACTTTACTACAAAATGCTCCTGAACCTGAAAACATAGATAATTATCATAAAAACATATTAATACCATGACCAAAAAGGGGTCAAAATCATGGTATATCAGATACCGTTACCAATCAGGAGCGGCATCACTTAGCTGACATCGATCGATACTTGCTTGGAATATTGAGAGCAGTCCCCTAAACCATAGAGTTTGAATTCAAGAACAGTTCTTAATTAAATCCCTTATGAGCTTATTTATCATCATACATTGATTTTCCTCTAAATACCCCTAAGTTTAATCCCTTTATTAATTAATCTACAACCCAAATCAATCTTAAA